CAAGTTAGGAATTACGTTGATTAGTAGCAAGTCGAACGTCCAACCAACCAGCGTGAACGAGCGTCTCGCCACTTGAATCTCGATCCCCAACACACAAACGGCAAATGATTCCTTTCGACGTCTTTTAACCCTTTCGCTGTTACGGTGAATTATCAAAAATTAGAAATAGAAAAAAAGCAAAATATTTCTACGTTTTGTTAAAAAAGAGAAAGAGAAAGAGAAAAGAATGCCTAGCGGTTTTATTTCTGCCGTCGGTGTTGAAAGCAGCTTACGAATCCACGTTCATCACTATCTTCCCCGGGCTGTTCGCGTCGTTACGTTTGTACTCGTAATCCTGTAACACGATGTAGTACGTGCAACACGAGCACAGTTCGCAACGCGTACGGAACAATTTCACCGGGAAAGAGTTTGGTTATGCAAACAACGGGCGAAGTTATTTGCAACGGTCAGAATAAGTGGCACGCCTTGTACGTCGAGACGCGGCTACATACATAAATGCATACGCATGTCAGCGGATGGCTGCATACATAAATGCATACATAAATTTGCGGTGACTGTGAACGCGAGTATGCATGCGGGCCACGAGGAATCCAAACCCGTCGACCAATTAATATTTCCATTCGAACTTTCTCATCTGACTCGACCGCGAAACTGAGACTCATTAATACCCCGGGATAGTTTAAAAGTGATTATTACATACCTTATCCCTTTAACCGATCCCTTTAAATACTTCCTTTATTTTTCTATTATTCGATTAGACGAAATTACCTTCTCGAAATGAAAAATAAACTTGAAAAAATATTTGAAATTGAAATTCCGATCGGTAAAGCCCGAGCACGCTTTTATTTTCCAATATTTACGTATCTTTAATCTCCTATAATCGATTTTGAGATTGTTCCAGCATTTACCGCTCGATCGAGCATAGCTAATTTTTGGTAAACACATTGTCGTTCGAATTACCGTGAATGCAGATCGAAACAACGGAAACACCCATTCACGAGGACAAACAGCCCCGGGCTACCGAGTTATTCCTTTTCCCGGGTCGACCGTGAACAGAGACGTGTAACTAGCTTGTCCCCGTTCGATACTCTGTCTTGCATATTCTACACCCATTGAAATTCTCTATTTTTCAAAACGTTATTAATTTATAATAAATCAAATAAAATGGATCAGGTGACGGAGCAAACGGGTCTGGAAACGAATCAATTTTCGCAAAGTGGCTGAAAGTGGCTGAAAGTAGCTAAAAGTGGCGGCGCCGTCGAAAGAAGAGCAACTTTCTTTTAATGGAATTACCATAACACTGACGTCGATACTTTAAACGATCGCTGTCCAATCGGATAAAATGGTCGGAAAGTCCGCGAAGCAAACAGACAGCGAGAGACGACTTTAAAAGCTGTTCAAGTAGCTTTGCGGCTCGTTCTTGAAACTGACCATGCTTGTTTTTCCACTCTCGACGAAACTTAACGAGGATGATATCGAACACGAGGAGCAAATTATTTTCGGTAAATTTACCGGGATACTTGATCGATGACGGACACTCGAAACTCTTTAAGCGGTAAGTCTGTACATAGGAGGAAAGTTTTTTAAGTGGCCCGACGCGACGGCTGGTAGATATAATTGACGGAAAAACTTATCGATACTTTCGATATCGGCCCTCTTACTTTTCATGCCGCTGTCGCTCCGAACGATTGCCTTAATTGCTTTGCCTCGTTGCTTCATTCAATCGCGATGCAATTAATCCTCAACGATTAATCGACGGAGCTGATTATCCCGTGAGAAATTCGCGTCGATTCTAGCGATTGATGGTCACTGTTACGCGACCGTCTGCTTTCTTCGACCCCTGAATTGTAAATGCAATTAAATCGAATTAGTATCCCGAATTAAAAATGTTTCAAAGCTTTGAAGATGGTGAAGAGCAAATATTTTTCATCGCGTATTACCGGCAACATTTTTTGCTCTACCAATATCGTTGCTTTTCATAGCGACATGCAGCGATGGTCTAGTAATCACTTCGTATACGAGCAAGGTTTCTATTCGTTTCGAATACCTTTGAAATGTACAAGTTTTTTGAAAAATTCTACCATAACGTCAAACTATGTATGTATGTGCGGTTTTCGCAAGCATAACTGGAGCACGTGAAAAAAAGAAATCGACTTGTCATTTTTTTGCGCCCGTTTCCGTGCCAAAGACCCCGAATAAAATTGATTACGTTGAGCTTAAACGCCGTTAAACCGTAACCGTGCATAATAAAGAGGCAACGTACAAACTGTTGCGCATTCTACGCGCGCGGTTACGCTGAAATTTGCTTATAAATTTGCATCGCATTAACGGCGTACAGGTGAAATTATATCTGTATCAAGCGTATAACACGTCGAGTCGCGAAATAGCGTCTCATCGAGCATGAAAATTATTCCAGGCCGGATGGGAGCGAGTGAAAAACGCTGCCCGACTAATACTTTCACGATGGGCACCGGACCCGATTAGATATTCCACGGGTCGGCTGTTTTTCTTTTTCATTTTACCATGAAATTTTCATTCGGCTCGAGCGTGTCTTGCACGCTGCTTGTTACCACATCCAGATCGGCTGTAACGACCGCGGGACGATCTGTAATTTAAATGGAAAACCCGATAGCCGTGATCGTTACCGCGTTACTATTCCCTTTGTCATTCGTAACGGACTATAGTTACAATCGATGAAAGCTGTGCACAAAGCCAGAGAATCTTATTACCGGCTTCGATGTTATTGCTTTTATGGAAGAGCCGTGCAATAACGCGACCTTACGCGTCCAACCATGCAACTCGTTCTCTCAACCAATCTTTCTTGTATCGTCTGTTTTTATAGCTTTCGAATTTTCAAGCTTTTTTTCGACCGTTACACTGTCGTCAGAGTTACTTTGGAGTAAATGGATCGAATAGATATTCAAGGTTTCGTTTAACGCGGTGGAACGTCTTTCCAAGCGCATCCGCAGTAGTATAGCTCAATAATTTCTGCTACGGTACACTTGTCAGTGAACTATAAAAGTATCCTACATGAAAGGGGATATTGACCTTGATGCGGCTGATGCGGCAGGTTCCACATTTTCTCGTCCGACTTATTCTCGAAATTGTCGGATCTAACTATAGTAGAAGGACATAAGAACAAGCTGGTGTAAAATTCATAAGAATAGAACTTCTCTATGACAACCTGTCGCTCAACAGTCACGCTAATGTGGAAATCTCAAGTCGAAATTACCTTAGCCTCTTACATGTTGCATTCATAATTCCATAGTGTATCCCCTTTGTATCTGCTTCAATTTTCAAGCATTAGATACTTTTCGAATCGGACTGTAACTCGGCAAATACCAAGCGCGTCTTTGAGCAATATCTCTGTTTTTTTATACCTTCTATTCGCTGTTTCTACTCAGATTGGTACGAGTCCGCGCCCAAACGCCTCCAGACCGAAAGAAATTACTTAGATCCCGTTAGTTTGAGCGTAGCGCTGGCTCGAGCACTCGTCGGTCGTCGACGGTGCACTCAACGCGCACACCTTAAAAACCAACCCTTCCCGAAGTAATCGTTACTGCATTAGAACTCTCATTACCGTAGTGGTTGACGACGACGACGACGACGGCGACGACGACGCCAACGACGGCGACGTTGGAAAATGAAAGCATTCGCACGAGTGCTTACGAGTGCGCGAACGCTCGCACCGAAGCTGAGCACCCGCGTGGGTCGAGTGTTCGTCTCAAGCACCCATACCATCATCTCGTCACGGCGATCCTCGAGTTCCGAAAACGCCTACTCGCTACACCCTCTATCATGGGGGATACTGTTGATACGCGCTCATGGGGAATACATACGTTAAATGGATCGTGGAGCAAGGGAAAGTTGCTTTGACTTCTTCTTTCGGCTTCTCTTTGAGCTTTTCGAAAATCTCGTTTCCATCTGTGCTATATTTTAAGTCTCAAAGAGTTAATTAACATATGTTACTGTAAAGACTCCATCAAATCCATTCAATTCGAATACATTTTTCCGTTCTAATTAACGATGGTAGGTAAAATAGTAAAAAAAAAATTATTTTTCTTTGCTAACGCACACGAGCCATCTTAATTTATTAGCCGATGTATCTAACAAGCCATACATGTTCTCTTTCGAGAGGTGCAACAGAAGCACCTTAGTATGATCACAAGTTCTATTGCCGATAGGTTGGCAAGCGTTCGAGCTCGCGGAGAATGAAATCGGTAGCGTGAAGCATTAAGAAGAAGGTGCGGAAGACGCGAGGAGCGAAGGGTGGCGAGGCAAGGGGAGCAGGGTGGAAGGAAAATAGAGTCGTCTGACAGGGCTGCATCGAGGCCGTGGAATTATTAATTTTAATTACACAACTCGAGGCTGCGTTCAGCGCGTCGAGGAGGCCCGGCTTACGTAATAAACTTACAGCAACAGCATCGGTACCACCTGCACCATCACCACCACCACCACCACCACCACCACCACCACTACCATCACCAACGGCACAGACGCTCTACTTCCATCAACACCGTCTTTCCCGTACTCTAGCATCGCCATCATCTATCCGCAGCAGCATTACGTGGGGGTATTGATTAAACGCAACGCATCCCACCCCCTCTCGACCGACTCTCGACCGCGTCTCTACGCGAGGGTGAGGAAGGTGCTTTTGGCACGGGAGTTGGCCGACAATTAATATTATTTATCGACGTCTTAATCGGCTGGCCGCATCTAACCGCCATCTCCAACCCCTCTGGTTTGAAAGCGGCGCGGTGGCCGCGCAGCCGGGGGTTGGAAAGCCGACCGACCTTGCTGCACCGAAGGAAGCCAACCTGATGCGAAACCGAGGGAGGAGGTCTGTTTCTCATCTACCCTTCGTCGGACGAGGTCAACTTTTATTGAGAAATAAACGACAACGAGTCGTCGAGGGTATTCAATTAATTAGAAGAACGGTTCTTGCTATTGCGGCGTGTTAATTATTTAGTAACTTGTTACGTATCTTAATACCCACATACCTATTATGACTTAAATGAACAGGTGCAAAGAAGGGTACCACTTCCATCCCCGTTAGACACTCACCTGAAACAGAAAAAATGAAAAATTTGTTAATAAAATTTTTCATTTACTTTCATCACAATTTTAACTTAATTCCAACTTCAATTGTACTCGGATTAAGGATACAAAATACTGGTAAAAGTGGAAGAAAAGCACGAGAGGTAAAGGATTAACGTGTGAAGTGCTCGTCGTCCACACCACCCTCGAAAAAATATTCCACGCGACGTTAAGATTCCTCGATAGCGCTTTCTAAATCCTTTCGTTTCGAAAATTGCTTTGCCCGCGGAAACGTAAGAAAGGCGTACAGAAGAGCCAAAGAGCAGAGTCCATTTCTGAAATGTACTTCGTCACCTTCGTGCCATGCCCATCGCGTGACCCAACAGCTCCGTCTCCTTTCGCCCCTTCGCTTTCGACCACTCCTTTTATTCGGTTTGCGCCTTCTCCAACATTTTCCCTTGGTCATTTATGGAACGCTTCCATGACGTAGCTGTAAAGTCTATTACCCGGGACGGACACTCGGTTAGCTGGAACTTGTCTGCAGCCGAAGCACGAAGAAGGGCGAAGTTACCGTGAAAAGCAAACAATGGATGCTGACTGAAAAAGGGAAGCTCGTTTTCGACATCTCCCCCCACCCATCTCTTGTTTCCCATTTCACGAAAGCATTACCAACGCGAGAGCCTTGAAAATTATTCTTGCAATTATAGGAATAAGGGAAATTGAGACGGTAACGAATTGGGTAATCGATAGGGGCTGTTCATCAAGCGAAAGAGGTGTCGCGACAAAGTTCAACTGGTTGCGTGTTGTAAAGTCGAGCCGTCAGGTCGCTTCATTGGAAGCTGGTGACGGGTGGACGCGTCGAATAGGACAATTCCAGTTGGTGGAGTGGTCGGCCCCTTTCGGCCCTGTTCGATAACAAATGGTCGTACCGCCCCTGAAGGACAACGCCGCTGCGCCGGCAGTTTGAGCGTAATTCTGCGCCCGCTCGACAGGCCCGTAAGTCACCGGCTCAAACGAAGCGTCGAGGTATTAATTAGAGTTTCAGGCCGGAAACCGCGATCACTTATCACCGAAGCCAACCTAATCTGCTGGTCGGCCCGTTCCACGCTAGCTAGCCAGCCCAGCCTTTTAACCGTGAGACTTAAACCTTCCGCTGATCGATGTCTGCCCGATCATCACCCCGACCGTTCTAACGAGTTCCCGGATATCAAGCTTTCTTAACAATTTCCTCGAGCTCAGCCGGTTCCAACTCTCTTTTTCCCCGTCGACCTTGTTGCCCGAACAGAACGGACGTCCAACTGCTGGGACTGGTGGAACCGTGTGAAAAGCGTTCATTGTGAACGCGAACCGGTGACCTCGTTACCACGTCAGGTCGTTAATAAAACCCGCGACACTCGAGCATTGGAAATTTTTCACGAGATCCTGTCGAGAACCTTGAAGCTTCAGGCGGGATTGAAACAGCGAGGAAAAGCACTGAGCTCAGACCAGCTTACAGAGATATATGAACCTGAGCATGAATGCTGCAGATTAGAATTCGAAGGGTTTTAAATGTCGTTTCGAACTCGTCGTTGAGGAATAATTTCAACTGTAATCAGAACGCCTGATTCTCTATTCACCGACGCGTTTCGTCTATCCTACGGTACAATACAAATTAGAATGATTGTAACTGTAATCGGTGAGTTGTTGTAGGATGGGTACAGCGTATTGAAAATTCATAAAGGGAACCCGGCTCGAAAGAAGTTTAATGAGTTTGCTGCGTTGCGACTCGTTAAAAATTTGGCGTCGACGTTGTGGCCGACGGACGGGCATAAAAGCCCCGCGTGACGTTCAATTAAATGCTACGAAGGTACAGACAGCATTGAATATATCCGCTTATTCGACAAAACGGTTTTTCAAAAAGGTTGCTGCTGGGTATAATTAAAAACCTTCAATCACGTTTCAATGAAAGGTGCCAACAAAAACTATGCTGCATTAAATGAATTCGTTGATTTCATCGTATATAGATATATATTTTTATCGGTAATCAGATCATTTCTTTTGTGCATCCTTTATCGAATAATCGAGCTGATGATTTATTATCTCTGCCCTGTTGTTAGCACGGGGTTGTTCGCGAATCATCGAGGGAAAACTCGTTTCTCATGAAAATCGTCGATTGGAAATTGGAAATCCGCGTGTTTATTTAATACCGTTCGCTCCAAATATAAACGATCTTTCGACCTGGAAAGATATCGATTCGACTTTGAAATTCGATTAACCACCCCGGTGAGAACTAATTGTTGCGCGGTTGGTGGTGTCTTAGTTGTACAAATTAAAGCACGAAACGTTGACAGAAATGAAGATGGTTAAACGAAATAATAATTGAAACGTAACTGTCCGAAGAAGAAAAGGAAGAGTAAAAAACTCGTCCGTTTCTCTGAAACTCCTCGAGATTCCTGTACCAATAACGTGTCCCTACATTAATTATGTCTGTCATCGGCAATGGCAAGCTGTCGTCCCCGTTTCCCTGCCAGATACTATCAAGTTTATCACGTCCGAGATATCAGAGGGGAAAGGGGGTAGGGGGGCTGTGTCCCCTTTAACTTTGGATATCGACGGTTGGCCAGAAACTTGCCGGGATGAACAGCCGGTGTAGAGTGCCGATCTGCTGGACCAAGTCTCTCATTTCGAGAGTTCCGACTGCCGGATGGTTCACCGTTGACCCGACCACGTTTGCCCTTACGCGGAATTGTTCTGACCACTGTAACCCGCTATTAACTCGGCTGCGAATTGATTCCACGGTTTACTGCCATTTACAAAAGCTACCCGATCCTGAGAACTCCTCCTCTCTCAATCAGAATTACGTCTGTTCACATTGTTCCGCAGAACTTTCTTTGTACCAACGAACCAACAATTTGGCATACGCTTTCTAACTGGTGAACAGAGATTTCGTGTGGCTGTGCAATTCGTTTCGATATTTGCGATAAATTTTCCAATATAAAATATCGAATAAAAAGTTAGAGGGGCTGTGAAAAAGAAGGAATAATAGTACGTGAAGAAACTAGCTAACTATATATATATATATATCACAGCCCATGGGACACTTGGTCGGTGAGGGTACGCGTGGGTGTTTTACTCCCCGGAGAGAAAGAGTAAATGAGGGAAGGAGGGAGAAACAGACGGAGGACAGGGGATCGAACTGGTGGGTGGTGGTGAAGCGGAGCGTACACGAAACAGCACTTACACCCTCGCGACTAGCAACCCTCGACCTCCGGTCTGCCTCTGGCTAACGGTCCGACTCTACAACTGCTAGAAGTGAGTCGAAACTGCAACTACCATCGCGCATACCAGTAGCTTTTAAGGCTCAACTTCCCTCTTTCGAGTTTATTAATATGTATACGTGTCGCGTAATATCTCCGGCAACATTGTAGGAAAAGAATCCTTAGAATGACGTTACCTTTATCGCACCGAGTTCTAAATTTATCTCAAGTAATTTGAAAAACAGAAAAAATATTTCGATACTTTCACCTGAACGAAGAAGGTTAATTCCATAAGCCGTGATAATAAATCCCAACTAAAGGGGTTGTTTCTTTTTTCTTTTTTTTTTTTTTACAAGCCGTGCGTACGTTCCAAGCATCCCCGAGGGTTTCGAGCAACCCCAACGATTTTCTGAACGATCGATTCCCGTCGACGATTCCAACGAACGGGAAATATGAAATCCACCGGCTGACACGGTAATCCTCGACGGAGTAAACGGTAAGCATCCCCTCGTTTGGAAACTCGACGTCCGTCGAGACGCAGGCGGGCATACGCAGCTTCGTTGGATCTCGCTTGATATCTGTGGTTCGCCTTCCTCTCGCACTTTCTTGCCAAGTGGAATTCTCTGGTGGACCGGGTCAGCTTCAACTGAACAAGCCAACCAGTCCCAACCACCCCCTTTAGAACAATCCGCACCCCCAGGCTCGTACCGACTGAAACTTGCCGTGCAGCTTCGCTAATGAAAACGAATCGTTCTTCTTCCATGGCCCAACCCCTTTTCCCTTTTTTCCTCTTTTTTTTTTTTTTTTTTAACCACGCTCGAATGAAGCGAGACACGAGGGGCTCGGTGCTCAGGTAGACAGCAACGTGTGCACACGGGTCTGGCTCGTCGAAGAGCTTCGTCGTGTTTTCGCCCCAAGGGTTTACACGTCGAGCAAGACAATTAGAGGGTCGCTTGTTCGGACGACTTTGTCGCTTACCGAGCTGTTCGTTACGTATCGAGCGATCGTTATGTTATGGTTTGCCTGAACCAGCTTCTCTGTCATGGATGGAAAAAGTTTTATTACGTTCAATATGTTCACAGGAATTTCAGCCTCTTCGTTATGTAAATTAATTTTCTTTCGTTAGATTTCTGCGGATTGCAATATGGACCGAGTTCGTATGAAGTTAATTTCATATAGAAGAAATGAAAAGAAAAAACGCAGATACAGATCATGGCTCGTTAGCAGCTAGATCGTAGAAAGAACGACGTCGAACTCGCCAGCAGCTGCTAATGAAAAGAAATTGCCCATTTCTTGCATCCCCCTCGACCCTGCTATCTCCTCTTCCATTCATCTATCGTGGCAAGGCTACAGAACAAGATGAAGGATACCGTTGCGGTAGGATGATGTAAATTTGTGCGTTACGACCAGCATCGAAGTTGCCAACTGGGGATGGGTAATGAAAACGAATTACCCTCTTTCCTTCGCTTTTTCTTCCTCCTTCCCCTGAGCAACACTGGTCGTTGCTTTTCTCGGCTCATCGTTGACGCCCCTGGACAGGTGGCCATGTTCCGTTGAAAAACGATTCGATACGTTCCTTTCGGCTCTCCTCTCTTTTTATCAGCTATGAAAAGTACACATCTGGTCGCTTTGTAGTTTGTCCCTTCAGGTATCTCGATTTTCGTTTCGCCGCAAATAGAGCGTGGCGAGCCAAAGGACGAGTTTACTTGTTGCTGCGTGACAGAACACCTTTGAAATCGTGAACCTTCC